TTGTAAAACGTTGACAATTCACTTTCCAGACTTCCTATAGATCTTATAACTATCTGACAAATGTGAAATGTTTTCGTACCCTGTGGAATTTTTATTACAACGATTATAAATTACTGATTTTTAGACGAATTGCTGCAACCGGTATCATTTATAAGAGAATAAAAACTCAATAACTTAATATTATATCTAGAATGATTGTTTGATCAGAACAAACTGATAATAAAAATTGCACCTCTGAGCAGTTTATTTCACCGGTACAAGAAATCTGGACCAGTAATTTTCAATAAATAGTATTCATAACAAATCACATCAGGCTGAGATTGTATTTAGAAATCTGTGTAGGGTTATGGAGATCGTTGAGTTTAGATTGGTATCATGAATGGATGAACGTTATAATGCCATCGAAAACCTGGAAGCACTAGACGGTTGTTTCGTCCCAGTGTGGGACTCGTCAGCGGCGCGCGTCCAATATCCTGTGAACAGCTTAAGAGTTCACATCTCCGAGGAGTCCTATACTAAGACGAAACAGTCGTCCAGTGCTTCCAGGTTTTTAATTGTGGTCTAACATTGATCCATTCATGATATCAATCTAGAAATAGCTAAAAAAAGTTATATTTAGAGTGTAAAGCAACATTTACGAATGGTTCAAATCACACGCTATTGAAAGGTATTGCATTTTAACTTACTTGTAAAGTATAAGATACAAAATCACTTCTCTCTTATAGACCACAAATCCTTCACAATATAAATATAATTAAATGGTAATTTGTTTTAATAACGATTAGTTTTGTTTCTGATTAATTTTTACAATTACCAGTACAACTCGAATATTTTGACAGTTGAATTACGTTTTCATTTCTGTTTGTTATATTTTTAATTACAAAATTTTCATGTTGATTTCAGTAGTATTCACACGACAGTTTACTCCATAGATTTAAAGAAAAATGTGATAGATAATCTTAACTTACAAAAAATATATCGAATTTAAAACTGTAAACATACCATGCATTTTAAAATATAGAAACGTTGTCAAAAGCTTAAAGTAAGTTATACTTATAAACTCTCTTTATATATATATATTATAGCATTTTTGAAGTACTTTAATATTCAGAACGTTTTTGGATAGAAACTATCATCTACCTTGAAGAAGTCCAGACAAGTTAGCTGGACGAAACGTTGGAATTATTTAAATTTCAATCACTGAGATTATTTCAAATATTATTTTCACATATATCAATTATTAAACTTATTTTGTAATCAATCATTGATAATATTCATATCTTTCATAGTATCAATCAATTCTTAAATTTATCATTATTGGTTAGAAAACTTTGTTTTAATCCTATTGTTAACTTCCATAATAAAACTTTATGGAGCATTGATTACTGTTTACGTAAAATATATGCTAATAAACAACAATTTCCTTTTCTCAAAGTTAGTAAAGTACCAAGTCTCTATATGAACCTCTTTGTATACATTATTAGTTGATGCTATAAGCATTTATCCTATCCAGTCATTGCTACAATTTCAAAATATGTCTACAATTTTAGACATTCAGTTGTTTTTTTACGTTAAGCTTGTGAATTAACTATGAATAGATATGGAAACCTATATAAATACTTACTTACTTACGCCTGTTACTCCTAACGGAGCATAGGCCGCCGACCAGCATTCTCCAACCCACTCTGTCCTGGGCCTTCTTTTCTAGTTCCATCCAATTCTTGTTCATTTTTCTTATGTCTGTCTCCATTGCTCACCGTAATGTGTTCTTTGGTCTTCCTCTTTTCCTTTGGTCTTGAGGATTCCATGCGAGGGCTTGTCTTTCCTCATTGTCAGTCCTATCCACTTCCATCGCTTCTTCCTCTGCTGGAATCTGGTTGGTTCTTTCCCACAGTTGGTTGTTGCTAATAGTGTCCGGCCAACGGATACGAAGTATTTTGTGTAGACATCTGTTAATTAAACACTTGTACTTTCTGGATGATGGCTTTCGTAGTTCTCCAGGTTTTTGGCCCATACAGTAGAACTGTCTTGACATTTGCATTGAAAATCCTGACCTTGGTGTTGGTTGACAGTTGTTTTGAGTTCCAGATGTTCCTCAGTTGTAAAAATGCTGTTCTTGCTTTACCGATTCGTGCCTTCACATCTGTATCAGATCCACCGTGTTCATCAATCATGCTGCCCAAATATGTGAAGGATTTTACATCTTCAAAATCTTCTCCGTCAATTGTGATTTAATTGGTCCATGCTATGTTGTATCGGAAAATCTTGCTTTTCCCTTTGTGTATATTGAGACCTATTGCTGCTGAGGCTGCTGCTACACTGGTCGTCTTCTGCATTTGTTGTTGCGTTTGGGATAGAAGGGCCAGATCATCTGCGAAGTCTAGATCGTCGAACGTCATCCTAGATGTCCACTGTATCCCATGCTTCCCCTCAGATTTTGACGTCTTCATGATTCAGTCGATCACCAGGAGAAAGAGAAAGGGTAAGAGTAAGCAACCTTACTTGACACCGGTTTTTACTTCGAACGGGTTTGTCAACTGTCCTCCATGCGCGATTTTGCAGTTTAATCCATCATATGAATTCTGTATGATATTGACTATCTTCCCGTAGAAAACTAATTCGCTAGAAAAACGCTAATCAGAAAAAATTATATAAATACTACTTGTGAGTAATTCATCATTTCATTGTTTCCATATCGTTTATTGATTATCTTTTTATACATGATTTTTGACAACCTTTCTTATTTTCATTTTATGTAATTCTTTTAAGTTCATTACAATTGTAATGTGACTTTTAGTCAATATTAACTGTTTAATACAACTTTTGTATACAACATATTTCTGAAAAGTATTTATCCTAACTCTGTTTAATGATCATTACCATTTTCAATAAACTTTTGTTTTAACAGAATTGAAATTTTTAAACAATTAATGCCTAGTTCATATTATAATAGAATAAGAAAGTTTTTAACAATTAAAGTAAAGGTCATATATTTTTGTTTCAATAGAATGGAAGATTCCAAACAATTATTATAAAGTTCCTTTTTAATAAAATGGGTATGATCAACCCATTGCATTAAAATTAATCAACCTGTAGCTCTCCTAGATTTACGCCCGGTCTTAAGCTCGGGTAAAGGAGAAGAGTTGGGTATAAGGTTAGCGGCTCCATCCCGTAGAAAACTAACTTGCTAAAAAAAACGCTAAACAGAAAAACCATAACCTGAAGAATGATCCGAAATTTACACAAACGGGAAAGTCAGTGAAAGTATCAAGTTAATATATTATGGTCTTGACACGTTTCCTATTAAATTTTCGCATTTATGAATCAAACGTAAAAACTTATTTGACTGATCTACATAATTTCCTGTCAATATGAATGCTAATATCTAGTGTATAGTTAGTGTTGAGAAGACCCAGATAATTCCTTGAAAAAAAGCTCAGAGAAGCCCTTTAAACACTGGATAACATTTTATCTAACCAGCATTGAATAGAAGTTTCTCATAAACATCGAGAAAGTAAAGAGTTATGTGTCAAATTTTTAATCGGTTGACTAATTATCATGCTACTATGTTTAGTAGGGCTCCAGAACTTTCCGAATACCCGAGGTCATCTAAAATTTTATATATACCCTAAATTTTCCGTACATAAACTAAATTCGGAGTAAGACATTCTTTGCAAACTTCGCTTCTTTTCATTCGTGTTGACGTTGTCGTGTGAATTCTGCCTTGGGTTATTAATAGATCCTAAGAAATCGGTTCAAGAGTTCAGCCAGAAGATTTATCAACTAGATATTCTCTTCCAAGAATAGTTAATAAATTTAATGAGCTACTGAAAAAATTTAACATTCTAGCTAAAGGAATCTTTTAGGAACACACCGTAGAATTTGTTCCAATTTGAAGTAGATTTGCATTGGTTTTATTCTTATGTAATAAGCCTAATGCTAATCAGTACATAAGGCATTGTTAAACCCAATTTAAATTTATTTTTAGATTAAATAATATATGCGCGTTAAAACTTTAAATAAAATTCATGATTCTCACGACTTAGTGTGAAAGTAAACCTTAGGAACATTTGTTTGTTATACTTTTGATGCAACAAGAAATAGCGAATTATTTGTAACTAGCACATACAGAATATCAGAGACTAAAAATGTCCTCACTTGTTTATAATATTTGATAGTAATACTTCCAAACATTTTTGAGCAGGGGAAAGAGTAGAAGCAAGAATCTAGACGCTACATCAATAGTTTGCTACTTATAAATCTCAAGATTTATCCAAGACACAATATCAATATTTAGTGTCTTATGTTAAGGAACTGTTTTGTTATTAGAAGTATTTTGAGGATCTTCTACTTCAGATAGACCTATTTTTTACTACTCCCGTATTTCTTATACAGCAATTTACAAGAGTTAACAATCGTGTAACATTCGAGTTACACAGAAAACATTTAAATGTAAACAATAAGGTAAATTTGAATCAATGAATCATTTGGTCATTTATTTTTGTCAAATTCATCCATAACCATAACACTGTACAAAGAAGAAGTGTAACAGGTCAAATGGTTAATACATTGAAGGTATTATTTAATCAGCTCATGTTAATATTTAAAATCAACTCTAAACATATTCACTTTTTAAGCGCAGAGTTATGTAGATCTATAGTTATTAATTCGTTGCTTAATAAGCTTAACGTTTTTAGATTAATCTATTGTCGATAAGTTAGAAAATCTTAGTCTATTTACAACTACCTCTAGCCACCTAACAATACAATATAGTGTACACGATTTCAAGTTATATAAAAACTTGATTGTTAGAATTCGATCAGTATTTACATAATAATTCTAGTGAACAATCGATCTAAACAGTGAAGACTAATTTTACTAAGCTTTGATATGGTAATTAAGTTATGTCAGCGAATTCAACACATATATCTTCAGTGTGTACTGTATGGTGTCTCCAATTAGTTACTAAGTTATTTGATGAAAGAATCAAAAGATAAGCAGTGAAATGTTTCTTTTTTGTTTCTAAAGTATTATCATCAATACAAAAGAGGATTCAATACACTAAAATATGATTTCTAAGCTACAAATAATGAAATAGCATTTTTACACACAAATATAAATAAATATATAAAGATAAAGTTATGAATGAATTTGATTTAGGCAAATTGTAAGGTTCGTTGTTTTGTGTTTTTTTTCGTTTATTTTTTATTAATATAGAAACAAACAAGTGTTATAACAATCATAATTAGTATTTGATGAATTTCATAACTCTTTATACTTTTATTACAATAGTCAGTATTACAACAATAATAAGAGAACTTGGAGTATGATTTCCAAAAATATAAATAGTCACATCTGTCTGCACATTGTCTTATTGGAGAACGACGCTTTTTAAGCGTAATCTTCTATAATAGACAATAAGAGAAATCAGTCAGTAAAAATAGCTGAAAAGTTATTCTTATAAACATATAACATTAACACATAAATCTGTTTTTATTTCAGAATTTTATTTGGACATTATACAGAATTAATAAAAATGTTTTGTATATTCGCTAGAACGGGAACGGAACACAGTTGGTATGAAAACACATGAACAATGAAATATGAGACAATGGATTGATGTTTGCAACAGGAACAGTCAAGTTTGAGAATGATGGATTGATATTGTTCAAATTAACCATTTACTATATGGTTCACGGATTTTATTGAGATGCTCTGTAATTTCGTGTCAAATACATTCGATTGTCCCTACTCGTGTTATTGTTCACTACACTACAAAGATGTTGTATATTTTGTTGTTATATTTCAATCATAAAACCTTTTATTGGAAAAATTCTTAAAGCTATTGTCAAGATTTGTCTACATCATTATGTGCGATTGCAAGACATTTATGTCGAATCAGTTCATAATCGATTGGACTATCAAATAAACCCCTACTTATCTTTGTCTTAAATGTGAATTCTTTTCACAATAAAGAACCATATTTCTAATCTTGTACGGCTACCGTCCTTCTGGATATTCTGTAAAGAAACTTGAAGCAGGTTTATACAAAAACAATTTTCTTTAAAAAAACATATTAAACATATAGTATTACTAGAATTCAGCAACTAAGCATAACACATAAATGATTAATCAACAAAGAAAAGATGTTAGTATATATCATGTCTAGTTTGTTCACTGATATCTAGAACGATAAGATGTATTAATGCAGTTTTTAAATTATTATAATACTCCTGAAAAGTTCAGGATGCCTTATTAGTTTACTCCTGTAACTTGATATAGTATTCAAACCACCAATATCAGGTTTCCTGATGAGCACAATGTTAATCCAAACAACTGAGTTTTAATTCATAAATATTTCAACTAAATATTTTGATAAAATATTAATGAGGAGTATAGAATATGAAGGATAGATTCCTTTATTGTAGTGAGTTCAGTCATAAAACAGCATTTTGATGTTATCATATATCCGTTGTTTTCTATTAATTTCTTACAACTATTTAAATGCACTGTCCAATCTTATTGATGAAAAAATTCTACAGCAGTGATAGAAGAAGCACACTTACCAGTGTCGTAGTTTAGTTATGACAAACAGTAGTGACATATTTGATTTCATATGATGCTTTCAACGTTCCAACTAGGCTGATTTATCTCGGTTTACATACATGAATCAAATTCATAATTGCTCTTATCAATACAGTTATCAGAATATTTTTTCCATTGAGCTCTTTTGTACAATAAACATGCAGGTTTCTTCAAATCTAACTACAGCAACATTGACAGTTAATACTACTAATAATGTGTAGAAACCTAACAATATGGTGCTATGTATTTAGCTTAAAATAACTGGGAACTACCAACAATACTTATTCACATGATTTAATTGCTCCTCAGAACTTAGTAGAACGGGTCAGATTTCAATCTTCAGGAAATAGGTGGTTAGTTACATTATCACAATGGAGGTGAAATCATTACTAAACATCTGCTGCATGTATTCAATCACACTAACTAACGATGAGATGTTAGTCTAATTTTTTTTTAAAAACAGTATTTTCTCAGTTCAGTTAAATAAATGAATTGTTTACTTCACTTACGGCACACCATGCACATCCACTTTGGTTGTTTACTTGTGGATATGAAGAGTTAAATGGGTCTGGACAAGTTTCGCAAGTGTAGCAACTCAAAGACGTACCTGAAATCAAAAGAGATGAAAATAATACCAATGTCAATATTGTACGTCTATTTAGATTATCCTGACAGTTGATACTAATCATGATATTTAGATGATTTGTAGAAATTATTACTGTTCCTACTGATAAGGATCTATTAAGAATATGAGTGGATCAGATATTTATTGGTGATTGATCGTTTGTAATATTAATTCTTCCGGAATTGATGAACTGTGATGAGTCGCAATCCACATGGACAGTAGAAAATATACATTTAACTAGAAACACATTTGTGTCTTAAAATAGGCATATTTATAAGCGTGAAGATAATATTTCGAAATACGACATGATCAGTAGGTTTATCAATATGAAATTAGCATACAAACTACTCAAAGTGTTTGTTTAATTTAGTGTTCCACCATTAACATACATTAACATATTTTCTAGTATATCATTCAAACTAGGTTAACTTAATGATGGTTTATATTAGATACTAGTAGGAAGTGCTCACAAAAATTAAATAGGCATCTCTATCAGATAATTAAAATCGCAATTACTTTGTGTTTATCCATTGATGTTAAAGACTGAATCTTAGTTAAATAAATTTGATTCAAGAGATACATAAAAAAGGATTAAATCTATATTTTTAAGCTGAATTCCGTCTAGATCCACCAACGACTAGTCACTTTGTTGTCTTATCGACATCATGCAATGTTATCTACTAATTTACCTTTGATAGTCAAGTTAGATATATCTTGAAGTGAATGCTTTGAGAATGATCTTCAGTTTGTACTAAATGATTATTCCACTGATTTTCCAGTCTATGAAGAAGCATGAAACATGATAATAAACAAGTCAACCTTAAGCAGTAGCTGTGAGGAGGATAGAAAATAAAATGTGACCATCGGGGAGTTTTTATGTGGTAAATTTTTATGGGCTACTCAAAGGGGATTTGCCTTATAGTCTTAGTTTAAAAATCTCATTTGGTTTGTTTTTTCTACTGATCTTAACAAATAAACGGCTCCTTGATTCTCACTAAATTCATTTATTTAAATTAAAATTAGATAATGAAAATTCTTGTGAGACAATCAACTACCAAGGTTATTTTTATTTCATGGAAATTTAAGGTTTTTCCAATGGTAGACAAGTCCACGATGAAAATAACATCATATTTAATGCATAACTAGTAACTAATATCTATAATGTGGCTTAGATGTTATATACAATGAGAGAAAAATTCAATCAAATTACTTCTCAGTTTTGTGCAAGAACAGCTAATTTGTGTATTCTGGCAGTGTAACCTTATCTCATAGATTTTAAGCTGGTGTCTCAAACAGAAAAGATGTTATATCTCGCATTCCTTTTAAAAAAACCCAATTAATTCATGTGTCTCTATGTTTTAAATATTCTATTATCTACGACCCATGTAATATTTCGATAGTTTTATTGATACAAAGCAGCACTGGATATATATATATATATATATATATATATATATATATATATATATATATATATATATATATGATCAGAAAAGTAATAATAATGTTTACCTGTCCTATTACAAATGAATCATAATCGGTGAAAATATTCACAATACGTCTTCCGCAATATTATGTAGGAAATTCAGAAAGTGAACGTTATGGATCTGCAAAGGGATTGAATATCCCCAAACACTTTATCTAACTACTTGAACATTCTGTTTGTTTTCATAGTCTAAACTCATTTGGATCAAATGAAATTTGTTATTCATTTTAACTGATTTTAAAGGTACAATCCTATCAACATTTCACTTTCTGTCTTAGTAACTTTACTCAATAGTTTGAAATATGTTTGCTGGTAAATCATGGTTGTCTTTGTTTGACAACAAATGACTAACAAGTTTTTCTCCAGAGGTCGTTCCCCCTGAATATCTATTTATATAACAAACTTCTGAAGTGTTAAAGCAAACGAATACTGCAACATTCTCAAACTTTGACGTTTTCCCAGCAACTAGAAAGACAAGAACTAAAAGCTACTTAGTATATATTTTAGTTTTTATTAAAACCCTCAAGATATTCAGATTATTTATTACAGTACTACTGCAGTTCACTACTTTTCATTAGACTGGCTGTTGGTTGAAAATAACCTGATGAATTGTTGAAATATTAGAGTAAATTAAGCAGAATTAAATGGACAGATGAATCATATAATGAAATGAAATATTAACAAGTTATCTTACTGTAATCTAATTTATATACAATCAACAAGATCACCAGTAAAATCTGTGGAGTATAATTCATGGTAGTAGCAATGAAAGCAGTATCCAACGGAAGTTTTAAATGTATTTTAAACAAAATTTTATGGGACCTTTATTTTATCATTTAACCCCAACGTAGATCTCGATGACTGGCCAATTATAAAACACAACCCTAAAATAGTCTATTGGTGTTTATCATTTGTATTAAGACATACTCACTAGACATATATTATTAATGTAATTCAAACAATGATATTAACTTATAAGTTCACAAAGGTCTGAAAAACTCATCAAATTAGTTAATTTTTTTCCAGTCTTTTACCATACAGGGATTTTGTGTAGCTAAAATTTTGAAATGGGAAGAGGAACACGTGCCGATGGACTGGAAAGAAGGATACCTCATGAAGATACCAAAGAATGGAGATCAGAGCAAATGTGAGAACTCAGTTACAGAGGCATCACACTACTGTCAGTAACAGGAAAGGTTTTCAACAGTGTTGCTGAACTGGATGGAAGATTCGGTAGATAGCAAAAATCGAGATCAACGGACTCAATTCAGTAGAGACCAAATCTTCAGACTACAGATCATCGTTGAACAATCAGTTGAATAAAACCGGAAATCAACTTCCTTGACCATGAGAAAGCATTTGACAGTGTAGATAGGAGAGCATTATGAAACGTTCTTCGATATTATGAAGTGAGTACCTAAGAAGATCATCAATATCATTCGGAATTCATACAACGGACTACAGTGAAAAGTGCTTAGAGGACAGATGAAAGACTAATTCCAGGTGAGGACCGAAGTCAGACAATACAGATAACTCACAATTGATTAATCACTGGGTAGTGATCAATGTCATGTGTGTCAAGTCCTTCTTAGTGCAGATCAAATGCTATCGACCAATTTGTAATGTGGCCACTATTCTAGGTGACTTGACATTGCGCGCATTATGTTAAGATTAGATGAACGATTCCTTCAAAATTACAGGAACATCTTGCTGACGAGTGCCAAATATCAGGGTTTCCTGTTGACTACCTACAACCACCATCTAAGGATGATAACTCTCATACTTTCTCTTTCTTCTGGTGGTCAATTGGGTCATGAAGACCCCGACGTTTGAGGGGAAAACTGGAATACAATGGACAGCTCGGGATCAACTGAACGATTTGGACTTCTCAGATGACCTGACTCTTCTATCCGATGCACACCAACAAATGCAGAAGCCTCTGCATCAGTAGGCCACGACATATACAATGGAAAAGTAAAATTTTCAAACTCAATACGGAAAAATTCAAACCAATCACATTTGATGGAGAAACTCCGGAACAAGTGGAAAGTTCCACTTATCTGGTTGGCATCGTCGATGGACTTGGAGGATCTGATGCAGATGTAAATGCAAGGATTAGCAAAGTAAGGGCCGCATTCCTACAATTGAAGAATATATGAAACTCAAAACAACTGCCAATCAATATCAAAGTGAGAATCTTCAGTACGAACATCAAGACAGTTCTATTGTATGGAGCTGAAACTTGGACAACTACCACATCAATCATCGAAAATGTACACCTATTTCCAAACATTTGTCTATGCATGATACTCAATGTCCGTTGACCGGATACCGTCAGCAACAGACCTGTATGGGAGAGAACACATTGGTTTCCAGCTTAAGAGGAAATTATAAAAAGATGTTGGAAAATAATAGGACGTAGGTTGCAGAAATATTCAAGCTGCATCACTAAGCAAGCCTGAACTTGTAATCCTGAAGGCGAAAGGTAAAGAGGAAGACCAAACAACATAGTGCACTGGAAATTGGAAGCAGACATGAAATGTATTAGCAGAAACTGGAAAGAACTGGAAAGGGTTGCTCATGATAGATTTTGATGGAGAATCTTGGTGGACGGTCTGTGCTACTCCACATGGTGTAACAGGCGTAAGTAAGTAAGTAAATAACATTTTGTGTTCATCCAATTATGTTAAATTTATGTGTGGCATGTCAAGTTCTATTTTACCCCTTTTTACTTAACGGACGGTAAAAAGAGTACATCAAATTGCACTAATAATTGTTATTTTTTTAACGCTTTATAAATGTTTAGTAATATACTTTCTCGGCAAACGTGACATGAATGACGTATAAGTTGTTCTCAATGGTAAGACAATTTAGCCAAAGAAAAATACTCTGATTAAATAACAATTTTATGTTACTGATTTACAAAGTGAACATAAAATACATAAGTAGTCTCTTGATGTAATTCAAAATTTTCCATGATTGTTCATTCTTGAAAAATATATAAGCTAGTAAAGCCGTTCTCTTGTAGTATTTAAAATACATTCATAGAAAGTAATGCGTTGTTTGATCACGAATAAATTTCATGTTTGCATACTTTCATTGATAATGAGAACAACTTTAGAATAGTTTTTAACAAACATTCTTCCCACAAAAATCAACACTGGATGATAGTAATATTTTTTATTATAAGCACACTACATGTTTTTAATTGGTTATTGTGTAGCGTCTAGTACCATGACAAGCCCACGTAGGTTATTCTAGCTTTTGCACAGACTAGTTTATTCATTCTCCTTGAGTCACATTTCGACCTTGTCAACTGTTTGTTGAATAGCCTTAAGTGTATTTATATGTGTGTGTATAGCTTATCTTATTCATTTCGTGTCTGTAGCTTATTTTTTCTGATTGTAAATATTGAGTCTCACATTATCAAAACGAGTTGTCTCACTCACCTCTTCCGCCTCACTTCGTTTTTCATTTTTTAAGCTGCATTCTCCACTTCGCACCGCTTTCCCACATATATGTATGTGCTTGAATCTTATTAATTATTGATCTTTGCTATTCGATAACAAACTGTGGTTGGCGCTTCATGTTACTTTTTGAATTCATATATCGTTGTGATTTATTCAAGAATAGTTATCAGGACCATTGATATATGAAGCCTAAGGAATTATCGTAAAGCTAATCCACAACAAGTGTACAAGTTTACAAACATTTTCAACGAATTTCCTCACAGAATCATGAAAACAAATGGCTGTTCAGGGTTTGATCTTACATAATCACCAATACATGTAAAATTGATCTACATGCAACGACTAGAAACAATAGATGAATATTTCTGAAATAAATCTTATTAACTGAGTTAATTCTCCATTCATATTTAACTTGCGTAGCATTGTACAACATGGTTTGAATTGTCTACTATGAATTAAAGCTTCTTAACCAAATAACTCTCCAGTCTACCCCTAGTACAGTTTCATTTTCCTATAATATTAAGAAATTTATATGCAAATCAAAAGCGCTGATGAACTATTAATTAATGAGCTTGTGGAGAACGTGAATATTCTCCCAAGTATGCAGTACATGTATATGTTTAAATGTACATATATAGGATACGTGCATTCCAGTGATACATACATAGCCATAAATGGGCGCATTTGCTAGTATGCGTTACATCCAATCATAGACAAGTTTACACATCCCATAAAAATATATAGTCGTAGAAGTTTCCAATTACAAATATACTTTACATGCATATATAGAAAAAGAATATGCATTCTTCATGTATGGTGCACCTATCTATGACGTTTTTATAGCACCGAATATTAACAAAAGATTAAAAGCATGAAAATATCTGCAAAACGTAGGGCAGATTGAATCACTGAGATTTAAACTAAACAAGATATATGTACTGTAAGTAAATGGAACATTGTGGATACCAACTACTTTTTGGTAGGATATGTAAAAAATTAAAAATATAAAGAACCATTTGATCATTTCATATACTAGAAAACTAAGTATACTGTAGTGAACAAGAACACGAGTGGGGACAATCGAATGTATCTAACACAAAATTACAGGACTTGTTAATAAAGTCTAACAATCATAAAGTAAATGCTTAATTTGCAAAATGTCCACCAATTGTTTCCAAATGACTCGGACTTCATTGTTCCTGCATTTTCATACATATTGCATCCTGTTTTCATTCTTTACTGTTCGATCATTTTGTCTCTCTGCTGCCAGACCTTCTGTTCACGACCAATATCATCTATTACTTATGTCAATATAAGTAACACACACCACAATACTATAGAAGGCGAAAATTGGTACATTTTTTATTATAAGAAAAAATCAGTGAGTTTTTAATTGCCATTACTAGGTTTCGACCTGATAATTCACAAAGACATTAAGTATTGAACAATGTGTTTTATTTATCTACCTTAAAGAAGAGATTTAAATCAAATCGTGAAACTTCAGAAATTCTAATTACTACTTATTGGGATATATCCATTTTATTGTATATATATATATATATATATATATATATATATATATATATATATATATATATATATATATCTTGATTGTATAATTAGAGCATTTGTTGAAAAATTTCTTGTTCTTATTGATACTTGGTTACATTTTGTCGGCCACAAATAAACAATGTAGAATTTCCAAGTTAAGAATCTTTAAAATATGAAGTATTGTGGTTACTTAATGTAATTCTCTCAAACACTGCTCAAATAGAAATTAAAAGAGTTGACCGAAATGAACCTACTGAAAATATGTCGAATTATTCAATGAGTCGTAGCTTACCAACTTGCAGCCGAAATAAAAAAGTAGATGGAGTTTCATCAGTCATTAACATCAACCGAAGAGCTAGATATATCGTTCAAAATTTAAGCTCCTTATTAATGAAAGCTCTACATATCAAGTATAGTGCCACCGTATGTGATAGAAACATTGTTGTGATCAGTAGGCTGCCTGATTCCGATTTAGTTGATCGATTTTGAAAGTCTACTGTGTTTATTCCAAATCACAGTACGTTAATATTAGCCCACATGGAACTGGAATACATAAATTTATGTATTTAAGACTGGAGTTAAGATTGGAGTTAACTATCAAAATTTAGTTATGGAGAAAAGTAATAAATGGTTACACTGATTAGAATGCAATATTGGTCATTTCACTCCGTAGAGATAAATATCAAAAATACTTGTTTTTCCTATCGTTATTCATTTATTGTTCGTATGATAATTTATTGTAATCACCCCTAATTATATACCATTTAGTAACAAGCA